AGGTACTGGGTTTTCCTCTGATGGTGAAAATATTAATTTTAGGGCTTTCTTTTCAAGGCAAAGTTGTATTTTGACCTCGAAATTTCTATTAATCTATGTAACATGCTACCGTAGGTTGCCAATTGATGTATAATGGGATAATGCAATTGATTTTGTACTATTTCTATTGTAAATTCAGAATGACTATTGAGTGAATTAATATACGATAAAAATTGATCAAGTTCCTGTTGGTTCCTGTAAAACATACCAGTACATCGTTTACGTATCTTGGTGAAATTCCATTTCACTTGAGATTAATTTTTAACCATGACGATATTGAAGAGAAGGAATAAAGAAATATATGTTAGAAGGAATAAAGAAATATATTTAACAGTACTTCTAGGGGTGGGAGACCTCAGATACCTGTCTACATAATTTGTAGGTATACAATATTATGAAACAGTTCAGAACAAGCTATTACCACAATGGGTCTCAAAATATCGTAAGCTTACATCGCTAGCTCGCAAATTCGCTTATTAATATATTATATGTATTTGTAACTAAGTAGTTCGCATCAAATTATTCATAAAGATTATAAGTCAATCATTTATAGTAACCAGTGTTTCCTAAAACCGCAATTATAGCTTTCATATAAAAGTTTATATATTCAAACCAGCAGTGTTGCCAGTAGATCGCTTTAAACATAAAAACGACATTCCGCTAAGCAATTGTATTTGTAATTTTGTATATAACAGTTAAAATAGCGTCAGTGGAAAGTGTAATGAATTACCCCATATCACAGTGTTTTCTGACAGATTTTAGGAATTGCTATTTATTCTTAGTATTAAAATATAAGTTAGTGTTTAATTCTGTTTTTTATTCCAGCCCCAGGCTGGTTGTACTTCGTCATTTAATTCTCTAAATAAGTTAATATTCAACCATATCTTCATCAATATAAAAACTATTTGAATACGGAATGTTTTGAAACTTTTGTCTCTAGATCTCTCTCTTCAATCCTGACCTCCCAGGGGGAGTGTAGTGGTCGACGTGATATCGTGTATTGTCCGTCCCAGAGATCTCTGTCTCTGGTCACTTCTTTTAATTCATGCATAGGTCTTTGGCATATTCCTGTAATTTGATCTATCCATCTTGTTGGGGATCTTCCTCGTGATCTTCGGCCTTCTACCTTTCCTTGTATTATGAGTCTTTCCATGTTTTCTGTGTTTGCTCTCATAACATGCCAAAAATATTTTAATTGTTGATGATGGACTTTGCTAGAGAGTCGTTGGCTAACTTTTAGCTCTCTTAAAATTGAATTATTTGTTCTACGGTCGGTCCAAGGAATTCGTAACATTCGTCTCCAACACAACATTTCAGTGGCGTCTATCTTTCTTATCTCCGATTGTCTCAGAGTCCAAGATTCACATCCGTAGGTCAGTATTGGGAATATTAAGCAGTTGATCAACCTCATCTTTATCGCTCTTGAAATTTGACATTCCTTCCACATTTTGGTCATTTTTGCTCTGGCAACTTTTGCTAGATCACATCTACGTTTTATCTCTTCTTGTAATGACCCTGTGTTTGTGATTAATGATCCCAGATATAAGTATGAGCTCACAACCTCGAACCGGTCAATTGTGGTTATGTGTGGATGATTGTTGTGTAGTCTATCCGCTATCATGATCTTTGTCTTTGATATGTTTAATTGCAGACCAAATATTTGACTTTCGTTTTCGATCAGTCGTATAAGTTCTATCAGCTGTGCTTGACTATTTGCAAGAAGGGCTGTGTCATCTGCGAAATGTAGGTTGTTTAGTTGATGACCATTTATTGAGATGCCCTTTTCCCATCCTTCAAGTGCTCTTCGCATAATATACTCTCCATATATGTTAAATAATTGTGGAGATAGTATACATCCTTGTCTGACACCCCGTTCTGGATGAAACTCGTTCGAAAGTGTGTCAAGTACTTTAACTGATCCAGTAGTGTGTTCATATAGTTCAGTTATAAGCGTAATTAGATGTTATGGTACGCCTACTTCTTTTAGTGTTCGCTATAAGTGTCTCCACTTGACCCTGTCGAACGCTTTACGGTAATCTATAAAACAGATGTATAGTGGGATGTTGAATTTCCTAGATTTCTCGATTATCTGTCTTATATTCAGCAGGTGTTCTCGAGTACCTCTACCTTTGGTAAATCCAGTTTGCTCTTGTGGAATTTCTCTTGTCTCTAGATGATCCATAAAAATATCCAATAGCAATGGGCTTAGATGATTACCTATTATAAGATCTGCCCTGGTATTTGTATGTATTTGCTTATTACATTCAAAGTAGTTCGGGTTCATGCAAATTTCAGGAAGATGTAAAAATTCGGAAGTAATGATTGGATTTGTAATATTATGGTCTAAAAGCGTAATTAGATGTATAAGCGTAATTAGATGTTATGGTACGCCTACTTCTTTTAGTGTTCGCTATAAGTGTCTCCACTTGACCCTGTCGAACGCTTTACGGTAATCTATAAAACAGATGTATAGTGGGATGTTGAATTTCCTAGATTTCTCGATTATCTGTCTTATATTCAGCAGGTGTTCTCGAGTACCTCTACCTTTGGTAAATCCAGTTTGCTCTTGTGGAATTTCTCTTGTCTCTAGATGATCCATAAAAATATCCAATAGCAATGGGCTTAGATGATTACCTATTATAAGATCTGCCCTGGTATTTGTATGTATTTGCTTATTACATTCAAAGTAGTTCGGGTTCATGCAAATTTCAGGAAGATGTAAAAATTCGGAAGTAATGATTGGATTTGTAATATTATGGTCTAAAAGGTTTTTCTCAGAACAAAAATTTCTGTAGGAGGGATACTAGGAAAAAGATTTTCTGGAGTTGTTAGGTAATTAAAAATGTTGTATTGTATTAACTTGTTATATTGTATTTTTTACGGTAAATTTGATTTCTAACAATTTTTTTGAAAGTTTCTATGATGGAGAGAGCTGTAGAAAGAAACTACAGGTCTTATTGGATAATCAGGTTTGGGTAGTTTAATGAAAAAGTATAATTTAGGACCTTATGGGATTATGATACTGATTTATTTTCGTTCTGTTCAATTTATTATTGATTTTGAATTTTCTTACGCTATTTTAATTTATTTTTGACACTGTCACTATGTTATAGGCATTTTTATAAAATTGTTTTGAATAGATCAAATAATTTTTGCGAAGTATTTAAAAAATGCTTTTAGAAAAAAAATTGTACGACTCTGAAGAAGATAAGGCACAATATTGAAAATATTTAAACTTTCTTAATCCGAGTAATTTCCAAATGTTATTGCAAGGTTACCCGATTTAAAATTAATTGCCAAAATATTTGTTCCTTCGTTTTGCTTTTTCCAGGACGAATGATGTTCTAAATATATTATTTTACATTAAAAATATTTTTATTAAGTACACTGTTATAGCAGGGAACAAATTTATTAGACTGTTAAGGAGACGAACAAGGTATGGAAAGAAAAAATTATTGTTTTATTAGCAAATCGTTAAAAAAATTCAAATTATCAATTTTTTGTCTATATTATGGTTACTTTAGCTACTGTTAAAGACTCTTGTCTTCTACAAAATTTAAATATAGTACAGTGAATGAAGGTAAAAATCAACTATTACCTCAGATTTCGGTAAACCTTCATCGAATTGCATGAAAATTTGGGATTGAGTGTATTTTACCCTCAACTTCAAAAGTGCCATGTGCTCAACTTGTGCGTTTTGCATTTTAGGGGTGAAATCCACCTACATATTTTGTTCAAAATGGTAAAAAATGCAGATTTAAGCATTCTGGCATAAGTAATCTTGATTAGTTAAATAAAATAAATATTTTGAAACATTTATAAGCATGATTTATGATTTTAATTAATTTATCAATTCTTTTAGTAACTATTCCTTAAATCGAAAATCATGAAAAAATCGTTTTTTATATTTCTGAAATATTAAATTACATATTAATATTACCCAAATAATTTCTTGAATGTTTATAGTATAATTTTTGATTGACTGTGATATTTCAACCCTAACAACCACCCCCTCGAAGCAGAATCATTGAAAAAATTAATTTCAAGAAACTTTAATTATGTGAATAATACATTATTGAATTGAAATCTCATTTACTGAGTATTAAAGTATTTTTTTATTTATTTCGTAATTTTGCACCCTTAAAAACTACCCCTTGTAATAAAAATAATGGATATTGTTTTTTTATTAGCTTTAATCATTTAGAAACTTTTTTATTGGTTGTAATAAACTTGTTCTATGATAATTACTTGTTCTTTTTTTTTGAACAATAGGTTTCGGTTTGTAAGCTGCAGCAACGTATTAAGTTGTAGGTGTATTGTTTTCTTCGTGATTCTTAACATTATTAATTTTTGTTACGTTTGAAGTAGTTTGTTCAATTTTATTGCCCCTGTAGTCAAAAGCAGCAGATTTAGGATTATCCATACTTGTTGTAATTATTGACCAGTATCTAGAGAACAACACACCATGTCGTATTACTGGTTGCCTATAAAGGTGGCGTAAAGCGAAAGGTGATTTGAAATGTATTAGTGTTTAATAATGAATACAAAAAAGTTCAAAGATAAACAAAATAAACAGTTCAATGCAATAATTCTAGCTAGATATTAAATCATACCTTTACACTTACTCGTAGGCAAGAGTTAACAGCAGTTTCTGATACACTACGCCTTTATGTTTATGTATCCAAACGTTAGTACATATATTTACATTCCAAATATTAATTTTAAAACTTAAATAACGATTTTCAACATACAGAACGACCTTCACACATTAAGACACAGTAAAAATCTCCTGTTTTGTTTAAAAACAAAGTTATATTGAGTATCCAAATACCAGAAAAACTATCAAATATTTTAGAGTTAATTTTTTTCATGAATAGAAAATATAACATAAAACCTTGTAATAATGAGCCAGCGAAATGTATAAGTATTTTTTATTAATATGAATTTTATCTTTTTTTTAGATGTTATTCACTTCGTCATGGTTTATGGATATTTTGTTAGCTTTGAGTTTAACCTGCTTTCTAATCTACAAATATCTAACAAGGCACTTTAATTATTGGAAAAAGAGGAACGTTCAACATCCACAACCTATTCCTTTATTCGGAAATTTTTATAATGTGCTAGCAATGAAATCAGTTACTCCAGAATATATAAAAAGCATTTGGAATAAAATAGATGCGCCCTATTTTGGAATGTTTATTTTTGATGAACCAGTATTAGTTTTAAAATCTCCTAAATTAATAAAAGATGTTCTAACAAGGCATTCGTCCACTTTTTACGATAGAAGAATTGCTATACCTGCGCATCCAAATATGGCACACGGGTTGTTTTTCCTAAAAGACGAGCAGTGGAAAATTATGAGAAACACAATTACACCACTATTTACATCCGGCATGATAAAACAGTTAGAACCTCATTTTATTGAGATAAATAACCTAATGTCTGAGTTTCTTACTAAAAATAGTGGGGTTTTAGATACTTCAAATCTTGCAAAGAATCTTGTTAGCGAGTACCTTATTCGAAGTTTCTTTAATGTCGAACCAAAATGTTTTGAAGATCAACCATCCATCATTCAGGAACACGTTAACAAGATGTTCAAGTTTTCTTTACGGAATATATTAATTCAGAACTTATTTTTCTTTAAACCCACCTGGATCACTGCGTTAAAATTAAATTTTATTCCAGACTCGGTAATAACGTTTTTTGAAGTTATCTTTAAAAATTCAATGATAGCTAGAGAAAGTTATACTGGTAAGCCTCAAAACCTGGTCGATTTGGCAAACAAAGCTTTAAGAGATAATCCAAATGGTGGACATATATCAGGTAAGATAAAATTTGTTTTAAACACATTTATGTTCATTACAATCCAGTTTTTTTAATCATATGGAAACAAACGACGACAATTTTTAATGTAGTAACTAAACTAAAAGTTGGCTATGGATCTCCTTTAACACTAAAAGCACTAGAGCGGTCATTTTCACCGCTTTCTATTTTTGACCCTCTGTTTGGGCAAGTATGTAGTATTTATTTTCATATTTTACATTTAATATTTTTCTTTTACTGTACTACAAAAGTGCACTGTACTACAAAAAAAAAAATGTTGTCCAAGATGTTACAGTAAATAATAAAATCACTGTTGGGAGTGACCATCGGTTGGTTAGAGCAAAAATAATGATCAACATTAGACGAGAGAGGACAGCAATTATAACAGAGAGGCATTCTAATAAATAAAAATCTACAGAAGATAGAGTAGCTTTTCAGAATCTCATAACTTTAAAATTAAAAGGAGTAGAACATCTAAATGAAAATGCATTAAATATATGTATAAAAAAAATAGAGGTGACAAACATGTGAATAAATATAGTGCGAATAATTCGAAACGTTCATCGAAAATATAAGGAAAAAGGAAAAATAAGATGGATAAACTCACTCAAGCTACTAAAGATCTTATAAACAAAAGAAGAGAATTGAAAGACAAATACACAGATAATTTTGTAACACTAAGACAGTTAAACAAAGATATCACAGAATCCATTCGAAAAGATGTCAGAAATTACCACACTAAATACATAACTCAAGCCATTCATAAAAATAAAAGTTTAAAAGTTCTGCGCCGACAAATGACTGAAGGATCGAAAAATATTTGTAAACTTGTAAATATAAAAGGAGAAACTACAACAAATAAGGAATATATTTTAAAAATTGCTCAAGATTTTCACTCAGAATTGTATAAGCGAGAAGAACTTCCGGATCCTGATCAAAATCAAATACCAGAAGTTCAAAATGTAGGCTCAGAAGATATCCCAGATATCACAACAGAGGAAATGAAATCAGCTTTCTCGGAGATGAAAAACAATAAATCACCTCGAAAAGATGGGATAGACATTGAACAAATTAAAGAAGGGGGACGAATGTTATTAAATGTGTTAAAAACGATGTTCAATGCTTGTGTGACAAGAGGCGTAACCCCCTCCCAGTGGTATTTACGAAACTGGTACAGCTTGTGACCGCCTTAATGAAGATACCAAGAAGTTTCGAATAGAACGTGGAATTAGACAGGGTGATATTATCTCCCCTAAATTGTTTACAGCTGTTCTTGAATATAATATGTTTAAGCTAATGAAAGGAGAGGATAATATGGGAATTAATATAAATGGAGAAGTTCTGAACCACCTAAGATTTGTCTTTGACATCGTTTTAACATCTGGTAGAGTTGATAAAGCTACAAAAATGCTGCACACGCTCTGTAATGTGTCAAAAATAATTGGTCTTAAAATTAACACCTCAAAGACTAAATTTATGACCAACCTTATAGTCAGCGGTAAAATTCTGATTGAAAGCCATAACATCGTCCAAGTAATAGCATACAAATATCTAGGGCATGAGATTCGCTTAGGCCGAGATACTCAGACAACTAAAATAAAAAGAAGGATAGGTCTCACATGGGCTGCCTTTAGTAGATTGAATAAAATTTTCAAGTCTAGTATCCCAGGTTGTTTAAAAAGAAAGGTTTTTAACCAGCGCGTTTTACCGGTTTTTACATATGGTGCAGAAACACTGACTCTGACAAAAAGAACAATATATAAAATAAGAGTTACACAACGCGCTATGGAAAGATCAATATTAGGTATTACCATCAGAAATAAAGTACCAAACCTAGAAATAAAAAGAAGAACAGGAATTACAGATCCAGCTGAAAAAATAGCCATGGCTAAATGAACAAACTGGATGCAAGTAGCTCAAGAGAAAAATAGGTGGACAATTTTGCGGGAGGCCTAAGTTCAGCAGTGGACAAATATAGGCTAATTGATAATGATGATAATAATAATGTACTTCAATGCGATCTAATTTAATTGTATATTCTAACGACTTTGCTTTAAAATATATTGTTTCCGGTTACTTCGTAAATTCCTATTTTTGACAGACTTGTGGGAGTATGACAAATAGTTTTTTAGAAATACCATTCATCGTTTTAATGAGACTGAACGTTGTCGTGTATCATTGAAGCTTTTGCAGAAAATACTAGGAAGAGGTGTATGAGTGAACTGGAAGTGTAAGTTCACTTTACAGAATTGTAAAAGACTTTGAATTTAAATGGAAGAAAACGAAAGATAGAGATATACATTTGACATTTGTGGACCTAAGAAAGGCGTATGACTTTGTACCAAGGTCAGAACTATGGGAGACAAGGTACAAATCAGAAATACAAATAGGAGACTTCACCACAATAAAAGGGCTCCTGCAGAGTTGTTCCACATCTCCAACCGTATTCAAAATATACTAAGACAAAGCCTTAACTACATGGAAAAGAAAATGCAAAGGCATGAAAGTACCAATACGGAACGAATACATATATACGTTAAGAATACGTATAATACAAAAAGAATATATCAAGGCTGGCCTAGATATTAACCTCGTGAAAATAGAGTACCTATTTTCAAGGGAAGAGGACATAACATATAGTTAGAAGATCTACAGATTGATGACAACGTAACAATCAAAGTAAAGGACAAATTCAAATACTTGGGGTATATAATTACGAAAATGGCACCAACATAGGAAGAAATTACGCAAAGATTAGAACAAACAAGAACAGCAATCCGACAACTAAACTTAGTATGGTGAGATAGACACCTTAATATGAAGACAAAAATACAGATTTATAAAACATTAGTGCGAAGTATGACATATGGTGTTGAAAATTGGATTATAAACATGAAAAACGGCAGTAGTAAGATAGTACAAAGAGAGATTTTTGCAGATGACACAGCCCTTATTGCAAACAGTCAAGCAGAGCTGATGGAACTTATACGACTGATCGAAAACGAAAGTCAAATATTTGGTTTGCAATTAAACATATCAAAGACAAAGATCATGGTAGTGGATAGACTACACAACAATCATCCACACATAACCACAATTGACCAGTTCGAGGTTGTGAGCTCCTACTTATATCTAGGATCATTAATCACCAACACAGGGTCATTACAAGAAGAGATTAAACGTAGATGTGATCTAGCAAAAGTTGCCACAGCAAAAATGACCAAAATATGGAAGGAATGTCAAATTTTAAAAGCGATAAAGATGAGGTTGATCAACTGCGTAATATTTCCAATACTGACCTACGGATGTGAATCTTGGACTCTAAGACAATCGGAGAGAAAAAAGATAGACGCCACTGAAATGTTCTGTTAAAGACGAATGTTACGAACTCCTTGGACCGACCGTAAAACAAAAAATTCAATTTTAAGAGAGCTAAAAGTTAGCCAACGACTCTCTAGTAAAGTCCATCTCCAACAATTTTAATATTTTGGGCATGTTATGAGAGCAAACACAGAAAACATGGAAAGACTCATAATACAAGGAAAGGTAGAAGGCCCAAGATCACGAGGAAGATCCCCAACAAGATTAATAGATGAAATTACAGGAATATGCCAAAGACCAAAGACCTATGCATGAATTAAAAGAAATGACCAGAGACAAAGATCTCTGGAGACGGACAATACACGACATCACGTTGACCACTACACTCCCCCTGGGGGCTCAGGATTGAAGAGAGAGAAGATGCTGCAGAGTAACAAGAATGGATAGAAGAAGTAATGACAAAATTAAGCAAAGAACATCAATAGAAACAGAGATACCAATGTATATAGAACAAAAAAGACTAAAGTGGTATGAACATGTAAGAATAACTAGTGACAGCAGATGGATAAAGAGAATAACCTAATGGAGTCCCATAGGAAGGAGGAAAAGAATACAACCCCAAAGATCCTGGAGGAACGAAGTAGACGACGCCATGAGTAAAAGTGGCCTAAACGATGGAGAATGGGACAACAGAGAGAGATGAAAACGGTTGAGCGAGAGAAGGCGGTGAATACTGTAGAATCCCTGAATATATAAAACGAAAGATAATCGACGTTTATTAATTGAACGGAATGATATTCGGGCTCTATGTATTAATTATTAATTTGGACAAAATTAAATATTACAGAAGCGAAATTCTGTATTATAAGCATAGCTCTGAACAAAGCAAAAAATATAATAAAAACATGTGTATAAGATGAAAGGCAACCGTATATACGTATTTCCTATTTTTGGTCTTTAGTACGGTGCAGCTAAGTTAGAAAAGGAGCCAGATCGATTACTTTCTGAAGTTTAACTATATTGGTTTCTTTTATTGTTTTCTTGGAGGGTTTGCATATTTTTAGTAGGATAATGTTTTTTTAATTTTGTACTGTCTTTACCTTTATAATAAAGAGAATTACGTGCCCCAGTATTCGACTAAGTAGGAAATTATTCAAATAAGTCAAGGAAGGATGATCACCTATCTCGTCACCTTGGGGATTCCCATAGAATCGTAAGAATCCGAAAATTGTTCCTCGTCGGTAAACACTTCTTCATAGAGTTTCCCCTAATATCCCTATTAAGATTAGTAAAAGAAAATACTTATGAAACTTAACGCGTTGGGTCTGAGAGACCAAAATTGCCAATACAACAAGTATTTCTCTTTCAACTGTTGCATACCTACTATTAGTCATACACAGCGAGGTACGACTAATACATAGATACATAATAACAAAGGTACAGAGATACACAGAGTCGTACAAGTACTAATTAATAAATAATAGATCAAAATCATTTTTCTTGGGCCTACTAGACCCAAGCTGTCCACTGTAGGGTTAAACTAGACATTGGGCAGCTTTCAATATACTTAAAATATCACAAAAAGCCAATTCTGTGCATTTCAATAAAAAACAAAATGAAAAATGAGGTCAGAAACATAACCAAATTCATAAATATAGTAACAGAAATTATAAAAAAAACAATACAAATGACATCGAAAATGGTGTAAGTCTGACCAACTTTAATAATAAATTATAAATTTTTAATATTTTTTATAACTTTTTAAAGGCAGTTTTATTTATTCAAGATTTTGGAGTGTTTTTGTCGAATGCCATACTCTTCTTAATAGCTGGACAGGATACTACAAGTACAGCAGTAAAGTTTGGTTTATACGAACTTGCCATGAATCAGGAAATACAAGATAAATTACGAAATGAGGTAAGGGCTAACGTTAAAAAATATGGATCGCTGTCATTTGAAGGAGTACAAGATAATAAATATTTAGGAATGTGTATTAATGGTAAGTAATTTTTTTTTATTTTATAAAGTTCTTTTATCTAGCATCTTAGTTTTTTATTAAGTGTACCTATTCATACCTCTCTATGTCTTAATTCTCATTTTTGTTTCTAACCATCTTAATCTATTTTGACATCAATCAAAGATAGATAGAAACAGGGCGCCACTCAATTTTTTTGGGGTTTAAGGAGATAATTAAGAAACCTTAGAAAAGAAAAGAGATAAGGAAATATATTTTGGTTCTGAGACACACTATATAAACAAATAATAAATATATTAGGTATTACACCTACTTACCTACGAAACTAAATCAGCCTGCTCTTTCTTCTGGTCGAAGGTGTAATAATAATTAAAGGTAACAAGCAAATATTTAGAGTTATTGTTATATCAGGAAACTTGTTAGGAGTCGACAAATAAAATTCATACATAAAACAAAAACAATATATTCAACAACACAATGGTATAGGCTGCTGAATGTACACAAAAGTAATCAAAATACACCATCAATTATGAAATGGTGGTATACATATAAAAATAAGCAGTAATATGAATAATAAGTACCTTTACAAATCAAACAATATATTAATGCACAGGTTTAATTATCAACGAAGAGAGCCTGATAGTGAGTAAGAGAAAAACTAAACCAAAGTTAAAAAAAGAAAGTCTCCCTTTGCTTTTTAATGGGCATATCTTGAGACACTGGGTATCGTAAATAAACAAATGAATAACAAAGCAGGCAAAATTAATTAAAGTTAAATCCAAAGAATACAAAAATATTACAGAATTAAAAATTTAACCAAATTGCACTTGGTTAAGTCGATTATATGTTCGCACTGTTATTTACTGATTGATTGAGAACTAAATGTTCGTAATTATTATTGATTAGAATTTCTTAGTAGCTCATGGAAAGTTCGTAAGAAAGTATTGAATGCTCTTTAAATTAAATGCAAAAATCAGTAGTTATGTATTCTCAACTACAGGTGAAGACATGGATGAACTTAGATTCGGCCAGATGATTGAAGGTAATATGATACCATACCATATTATTCACCCAGATAAGTAAATATACTATGATTATGATAGTATTCGCCCAGATAATGATTATGATAACTTACAGTAAATCTTGATGACTGCTGCACTAATTCACTGAATACTCTACTTGTATCAAGCACTAAAGTTATTTAAATTAAAAGGTACTTTATAACTATATTTAATCTAATATAGTATTAGATTTAGAAACAACTATATAAGTGTATACACAATCAAAAAATGAACAGAAACGGTACGATAACACAGTGACAGTAAGATCTAGTCCTTACGCAAAGACTGTCCCACCAAAAGTGGTCTTTCTTCTCCAAAATTTACCAAACTACCAAAAAGGGTAGTTTGGTAAATTTTGGGCGAGGGTATCTCCCACCTAAAAAGTATGGGACAGTATCCATTTCCAAGAAGGTAAAAAGTTTTAACATCGAACATAACAGTGCCCTTCTAGCTAGAAACGTGCCCCCGACGATATTTACCGAATTTATGAAAAAGAACTCGGAAAAGGATTAACTAAGAATTAGCCAAACCGGCGGCGTCTTTAAATAAGTAGGTAGGAAGATTCTTCCGTCATAATTCGATAGTTTTCAATAAAATTTAGCTACCTATTTGCGAATACGACCATTAGCGTATCAGCAACGAAGGTAAAGGGAATACAAATAGTTAATATTCTAATTATATAAAAAACTGTTACAGCATGAGAAATGATTTAACTACTTTCTAATGTAATTATTTAAGGCAACTTCCAAATGTTGTAAAGACCGTAACTGTATATATTTTTAATCTTTGTAAATCCGTAATACTCGTTGGTAGATTTTCGTAAATGCGTTATGGCGGATTTTGTGGAAGATACTTCACGAATTATTTTTTTCGTGGGAAACCATTAACAGAAAATCAATCAATAGAGAAGGCAGTATCTTTGACAACTTAAAAAGCAGATATGCATAAATGAAGTCCATATGGTTTTTAAGGTATTGCAAGACAAAAATCTTAAAAGCAACCGCCAAGCTGCGTTGCAAGGATTGTCCACAGGTATTAAAGTACCATCTAGAAAAGGGAGAAAGCTTATAATTACTCACATTTTGAGTTCTACGGGGTTTTCTTTTCTTAAAGAAAGGTTGCTCCTATTTAAACCAAAAAAAAACGGGCGACTACCAAGAGGACATGAACGCTGATATGTTTAAAGAATATTTTAAACAAATGCTGAAATTTAGATATACCAGAAGGTTTGATTATCGTTACGGACAATGCCAACCATCATTCACGACAAACTAAACTATTTCCTACAACAGCGTGGAAGAAAGAGAATATTAGAGCAGTGGTAATTCATCTCCAGGAGAGTTGTATGCCATATTTTGATACCAGTTTTAGTAATTGTTTCTGTTTCTAGAGCTTATTATGTATAGAGTAGCAGGTAGTACTCTTTTATAGTTCCCAGCTAAGGATAGACTACTTCAGGGCTTGACAACCCTGTCCCTACACCAGCTACCAGCTACTGTTTCTCTCCTAAGCTCCCTTCACAGGAAAAAACAGGTCCCAATTGTGTTCTTTATCTAATGCTTATATATCTTTTCCTTTACACACATTGTCTGAAAGGTTGTAAAATATTTCTGGCAGAGAGCAGCAACGATTGGCAGGACCAAGATGATGCCTATAGAAAATGATCCTGGACCGCCTGTCATAAGCAAATGTGTACGCAGAGCAAAATAGTTGTAATACTGCGGTGTAATAGGGCACTATCCAGTGCACCATCATTTCCAAGAAAGTTATGCGCGGGGTTCAAGTGTTGAGGTTCAACATTGGATGTTTTTACTTAGCCCGGGTGACGACCGGCACTACCTTGAGTCCTGGTCAAGGAGTGCGAAATTGGTCCACAAAATTTAACACGCAAATAATTAATTAATGTTGGTATATGGAAGGTACAAGGACTAAAGATAATCACAGGTATGTTGTCAATGAAAAAAAAAACCGGCAAGGCATAACATTGAAATCTCTGGACTAACTGAAACGCACGGGTTAGAAGAGGGCCCGTTTCGAAAACATAATACCAACTATGTTTACCTTTTTGGTGGTGAGACTCAAAACTATACAAGTGTTGCCATTTTGTTCTTACCAAGATTACAAGTCTCTCAATGAATTCAAAGCGGTAAACGATAAAATAGTTCTCTTTAAACTACACGACATAAAAGTCAAGGAATCCCACGAAAAATTTTAAAAAAACCATTGCCAACATTACAAATAAAGAGCTAACCTCAATATACCTCTGTGTTTGCGTCTGGGGTAGGACTAGTTTACAACCGAGGGTTTTCATTAAAAAAAGCTTAATTTTTAAGACTAGCGAAGAACTTTTTAAAAGCGAAGCTTCCTGTACTTTAGTAAAAACTAAATACTAATAAACAAATGTTAAAGAAAATATCTAATAGTTGATATCTAATAGTAACAATAAGTTGTAATATACTTAAAAATATTTTGTTTTTAGAAACATTAAGAAAATATCCGGCATTACCATTCATTGACCGAACAGCTAGGAATGATTTCAAATTTGAAGATACAGATCTTGTAGTGGAGAAGAATATGTCGGTACTTATTCCCGCTTTTTCTTTACAGAGAGATGAAAACTTATTTAGAAACCCTGAATTGTTTGACCCTGAAAGATTTTCAGATGACAGCATTAATTCAGATGGACTCACTTTTTTACCATTTGGAGAAGGACCAAAATATTGTATAGGTAAGTTCCAAGGATAAGTGTTAAATTTTTATAGCAGCAAAATATCTAATAGCAATAAAATGTACACAACAAAAATTTTCCTTTGATAAAAGTTAAAATCGACAATTATATGTCTAGAACAGGTGAATCGTACTTTCGATATCGCTGCTCTAAATAGATCAGTAGAAACGTTGTAAATAATTACTACACTTTAGATCTTTATTTGTTGTATATGCTACTGGACTACCTGGGTCTGAATTTTCTGTTACAGCTTATTTCAAATCGAGTGGGGACCCCTCCACGAAATAGTTAATCGTGCAGACAATAGAATATCTATGATCAGACCCATGCAGTGGCGTTGCAATATTAAACAAATTAAATTATTTGAAATAACACTAATTACAAAGTTATAATTCACGTAAATAATAAATGTAGTTTGATCGTACACAGACATTGTTTTATAGACACCAAACTTTTTGTTTGTTATAATACCATCTTTAATCATTGATATTCTATAAAGTTTGGTAAAAGTTAATTTCTGATTTAGTATCAGCTACCTTAAAACCGTAATATAAAGTAATTATTAATGATTCCTTAAAGACTCGTTTAGGAGATACAAAGAACTGATAAGAATTATTTCCGAGAATTTCTAATCACTAAATTTTAAACGAGTTCGAAATTTAGTCTCATTATCTTGTCGGCGGGCGAACTTTCGACACCAAATTGTCTTTGTACCTGGGGTAATCGAAGGGTCAAATTTTATTATAGGAAATTTCGACACCGCGGCGTAAAGCTGGTAGGTAAGTAATTAGCGGCGATGGACATATGCACCCAAGCAGGACAAGCGGATTTTCCCAATATTTATTGTCACGGCGGGGGGCGTGGCACTTGTGTACTTGTGACTAAATTATTTCAGTTGTAATTTATTTCTTGTTTGGCGTTGACTTGTGCACGTATACGGATATTTAAAAAATGAGTTTGATAAAAAGTTCCCGTGGTCGAGATTTATTAGTGGTGGAGCATCATTCGTTATCGAAACAGAAAGTGTTAAAAAGCGGCGAGATATTTTGGCGCTGCATCCAAAGAAACACTAAGTGTTCCGCAAAAGTGTTTACAATAGGCTGTGAGGACCTCACCATCACAAGAAGTGATTTGGTACATAATCATGAAGCCGATCCAAAAAAGCTTGAAGTAAAGATGGTAACCAATGCATGTAAAAGAAAAGCCCAAGAGGACATATCGGAAAAGCCTGCCAAAATTACAAGAACTGCTGTTGCTGAGTGTGATGCCAATTTGCTGACGGTTCCTGACATAGCTAGCATAAGAAAGAACATTTACAACTGTCGTCGTAAACTGTTACCAGGTCCGTTACCAAGAAGCATATCAGAAGTCCATAACGCGGTTAGTAATTATGCTCCTAAAACCTGTCGCAATGAAAGTTTTTTGTTTTTAATTCATCCTGAATTAAATGTAATTGTATTTTCGTGCGAGACAAATATTAGTTTGTTGTGTAAATTAAAAACCTTGTATATGGATGGTACATTTTCATACAGTATTAAATATTTTCTAAAATTATTTACTATATATGGCTTGGAAAATGGACATTATGTCCCTTTAGCATACTGTTTGTTAAAGGACAAATTGTCAATGACATACAAAAATTTATTTTCTTTGTTAAGGTCTAAGATTTTTGAAACATTTTAATCATCATTAGAGCCAACTGAAGTATTTGTGGACTTTGAAAAAGCAATTCACTGTGCTTTATTGTATATGTGGCCCAATGCAAAAATTAGTGGATGCCATTTTCACTTACTCCAAAACTGGTTTAAAAAAATTCAATCTTTAGGTTTGGTACAAGAATATAAGGATACAAATTCAGAAATTGGAAAATGGTTAAGACATACGTTTGGTGTAACTTACTTAAATCCAGCAGAAGTTGAAGAATGCTTTCTTTATGATTTAATGTCATATAAACCTATAAACGCAACACTTGATATATATGCAGATTATTTACTGGAAAATTACAGTTTCGATAGCGCTCTATTTCCACCACACATATGTTCTAATCAGAATCCGTCTATTGCGAGGACCACAAATGCCTGTGAATCCTTTCATTCGAGATTTAATTCTTCTTCTTATTCAACACATCCTTCTATTTTTATTTTTATTGAAAAGTTAAAAGAATTTCAAGTAGACACTTATGTCAAAATAAATAGTTTACATATAGGTACATATACATTTTTGGAGAAAATGATGGATAAACTACGATCCCAACAAATACGTAGGTTAGATTTTATAAAAGCTGTATCTTATCATTCCTATAATAGCAAATAAATCATTATATACAAGTATATTAACGGTAAAATGTACAAAAATTAGGTACTAGTTGTATTATATTTAGATATTATTACAGTTATAAAGAAATAAAATGCACATTACTTTTATTAAAATAAATAAATTAATTAATTATGGTGTTTTATTTATGTCGCAGCTATATTTATTTGGTGTCGAATATGCCTGTAAGATAAAAACGGGAATTGGGGCTGGTGTCGAAAATTGCCATTAAATTTTAGTCGCTACCCGCTTAGTGTCGAAATTTCCTACGCCCTATCTTGTCGAGTCTCAACAAGAAAGATGCTACCATGCGTATTAGAACTATTTTGTAGAATGGAGACAGTTAAGTGTAGTAGGGAGTAAACAAATCAGATTGACACCAGAATCCAAAGGAATAGTTTACAATTTATTTAAATATATTCAAATACTATTTCCTGAAGATAATCGACCAGTATTAAACAACGTGTGAGTAAAGCTACTAGAGTATTTTTACGTACAGTAGAAAGAATTATTCAACAAGCGAGCATGTTAACAAACGCAGAGTCAAATAATACACTAAAATTTTCAGCTACACTTGCTAAAAGGAAAACAACCGTGACAGACTTGAGTAAGTATGACAAACAGTTTATTAGAAATACTAAGACATACTAATACACAACAATAATCGTTTTCATGAAACTGAACGTTGTCGTGTATCATTGAAGCTTTTGCAAAAAAGGCTTAATAAGGTGTACGAGTGTACTGGAAGTGTTAGTTTTCTTTACAGAATTGTGAAAGATTTGGGTTTTAAATGAAAGAAACCGAAAGGTAATAATCAACGTTTATTAATTGAAGGGAATGATATTCGTGATCTACGCATTAAATATTTGGGCAAAATTGAATATTACCGAAGCGAAGGTAAGTCAATTGTATATGATAATGACACCTATATACATGCAGGACCCACTATGCCAAATAGTTGAACAGATGACAGTGGCAAAGTATTCTTAAAAAACATTTTGAAACAAGAAAATAGGTTGGTTACCGTACATGATGGTGGAGAGATGGGTTTCATACATAATGCCCTTTTAATTTTTAAGACAGGAAATTATCAAGATTATATGAATTCAGGAAATTATGAAAAATGAGTGAAAGAAGACATTCGAATTATGGCAAACCTATACTGGGGTCAAACAGCAAGAGCAAAAATTGGCAACGAACTCACTGAAAGCGTGCAGATCAAAAGAGGTGTCCGTCAGGGGTGTATATTATCCCCACTCCTATTCAATATGTATTCCGAGGCAATATTTAACAAATGGAAAATGCAGATGAGGGCATAAAAATAAACGGCGAGTTAACAAACAATAAAAGATATGCCGACGACACGGTGATCCTTGCCAGTACCATACACGAATTACAACAAGTAATGGAAAGACTTTATTCAGTTAGTGAGGAATACGACCTCAGCCTCAACTTTCGAGAAGACAAAGTGGATGTTGATAAGCAAAAAGCAACAATCTGCTCGACAATTACGGATAAGTAAGATACTAGTTGACCATGTAGAATTTTATGTGTACCTTGGCACCAACGTAAATGCAAAATGGGAACAGGCCATAGAAATTAAGGCGAGAATAGAATGAGCTAGAGCAGCATTTAGCAATATGAAAAAACTCCTCATAAGCAAAGATTTGTCTCTTTCCCTAAAACTACGTCCAGTTAAATGCTACATTTTTGCGATCTTGCTGTATGGCGTGGAGGTCTGGACGTTGACGAAGACGCTAACGAGAAAACTAGAAGCATTCGAAATGTGGGTGTACCGACGCATTCTTCGTATATCCTGGACCGAACATGTCACCAACATAGAGGTACTCCAAAAAATCAGAAAGGTGAAAGAAATCGTGAATACAATTAAACAAAGAAAGCTTGAATATCTAGGACACATATTGAGACAAGTACGATAAGTGCGATAAGTACCGTCTGCTACAATTGATTGTCCAGGGAAAAATAGACAGTAAGCGAGGGCCAGGCAGGAGAAGACACTCGTGGCTTCAAAATCTGGGGAAGTGGTTCGGGCACACATCGGTCGAACTAATCAGAAGCGCCGTAAACAAGATCAAAATTGCCATGTAAATAGCCAACGTTCACAATGGACAGGGCACTTGAAAAAGAAGAAGAAGAAGAAGAAGAGTGAAAAAACATTTAATACTTAATTTGCCTGTTGGATCTGTTGTTGTTACTGATAATGAGTCATAAAATAATGTACAAATTAATAAAGCACCCACCAGTAATTTTAAAAAAATGGATATGATATCTTGGTTTACAAAAAAAATTACCATTTGTAACGTCAATGGTAAAACCACAATTGTATGAAATCGTCAAACGACACAAACAAGATTATATTTAATATAAATTTGACAAAGTGCTGCAAGAATGTGCACATGTGAATCTTATCAGAACAACCAACGAGTAATGCAGGCCATTCACGTTCCGACTTGTGGTACGACTAGTGGTCCAACTTCTGCAGTTGGATCTGAAATCGGACCGTGAGTGGGCTAGTTGGATTAGTTGGACAACTAGTGGTACGAGTCGGAACATCTAGTGGGACGACTTGAAGATCCGACTTAAGACTGGCGACGAAGTCGGAGCGTGAATGGTGAAGTTGGATTAGTTGGAAGTCGGATCACAGGTTGGATCGAAAATTTCCTCAGTCAATTGACCTTCGGCACCTGTTACCTATGAGATTTCTATGAAATACTTTACGCAAAGATCTCTAGTTTGCGAATATTTAATAGAAAATAAACTTCTAATTGCACGAAAATTACCTTTTTGTTAGGGCAAATCATTTTCCTTTCTGTAGATCTATTTCGGACATTCCCATACAGGTAAATTTCCGATACTCCTGATTGGCTACGGAAGAATTATCAACAAACAATGAAAGTTAAATCATAGTTGTAGCAAAAGATCCCTAGTTCGCAAAAAAATAATAGAAAATAACTTTCAATTGCACGAAAAATTATTTCTATTAAAACTATACGACACACACACACAACAAAATAAATCCCAGCTCCAGTTTAAAACAAATAAAATATAGATTTTATACCTACACCTACACCTACCCATCTCATGTAGGTTAACCGGTTGTTAATAATTCTCATAAATAATTCTCAGTCCTGTAGGCGCATGCCACTCGCAACATACTTGTTCTGTCCACTTGTGTTATGAGCCTCCTATAGGCCGTTATCTCTATCGCCTCGGTTAGGACTGCTGCCGCGTAGAGGAGGAGCGACTGTACAACACTGTGTAAGACCCTCCTCCTTTCGGATTTAGGTCACCCAATGCTGGGCATCACCCTGTCCACCTCAGCCGCACTATTCGTAGCGTTTCAGACCACCTCCCGTACGTGCTCCTTCCATTTTCCATTATGGTGCAATGTTACTCTTAGATACTTTACTTGTTTCTTGGATGTTAGACATGATCTCGCACATTGTAATTCAACCCTTTGCCTGTTCCTGTTCCACTTCAGAATGATGGCTTCGGTTTTCTCTGCCGCAAGTTTCAGTTCATGCTGCATCATCCATTTCTTTATTAAAAGGAGCCATCGTGTTCTTTTTTACCATAATCCTTCTCTCGGACAGATACTTCGCCACCACATTCATCAGATAACCAGGACATTCTATCTCCTCCATTGCCTTCATTACCTCGTTGCACTGCAGCGTATTGAATGCATTCCTAACATCATACAACAGCAGGGCCACCCAATGATGTTCATTCCCTCTGTTGCGCAATGCTGCGAGTACACTCATGATTGCATCAATCGTGCTTTTCCCCTTAAAAAATACCAAATTGACTCCGAGATGAACCACCTGACCTCTCAATCCTAATCATAAATAGTTTATTTACAAATGTGCCACTAAACAAGACATTACATGGGTCACTAGAGCGAGACTAAGTTATTGTATCAGCTATATTCTTTAAAACGCTAAGCCCTTTTCTTGTCCACCACTTTACTCAAAAACCATATTAGATAATTAAAATATTTTTTCGGAATATTCTTAGTATTACGGATAAGATTGTCAAGATATACTTTTGGTACAAAAATTCACTTCCGGTTTTGAGATGACTGGAAGTTAAAATTTACTTTAAGTTTTAGACCCTACAATGTATATATAAGTCGAAAGGTCTCGTCGAGACGAATCTAAATATGTACTTGCGGTTGCGATCCGACACCAAAAGTGACCCGAAACTAAATGATATACTGGTTTATGTTTTTTTCCATGGACATCTATATGTGGCAATGTCTCGATCCCGCTCATTTGATGGCGTAAAAGTTTACATAACTCCCGATGCCAAGCAAAAGTTTTCAGAAAATGGAGGCATTGTAACAAAAAGCATTGTTTTCGACGAAATATTTCGTGATATTTAATACACTTTTAACTTGCATTATTATTGATGAATGTTATGTATATTCTTGCTTATATTGTTTGTATTGATCTCTTAATTTCTCTCGCAAAATAAAAATTTCATTTAAAAAACTCTAACTCTAACTTAAAAACTGTAAAGTTATTAATATTTGGTCCTAAAATACCTATTTTTAACTATAAAAAGAATTCTGTAAACAAAATTTTGGTCTAGCAATAGGCTCTAGTTTATCGATATTATTAGTCAATATATTTATAAAAAATTTCGAAACAAATATTTATTCTAAACAAAATGTAAAACCCACAGTTTGGTTGAGATGTCTAGATGATGTATTCTCCGTATGGCCTCATGGATCAGAGTTGATCTGTCGTTTCGTACAAAAGTTAGATGGTGATTTGTGAAAAATTTGTATGTGATGTTTGCTGTGTAAACAGCAAACGAGTTTTAAAATACCTTTCAATTCTTATTCATGGACCATTTTTTTTTAAATTGTAGTACTGATAATTATCTATACAAGAAATAAAAAAAGTCCTAATTTGAGTTATCGACAAATTATTATTATTATTTTAAATATTGAATTATTATTTTTAGGTAAACGACTGGGAATTTTGATAGTGTCCATGATTTTATCAAATATTGTTTTAAATTTTAAACTCGAAAAATGTAATAAAACTCCGGAGAAAATCGAGTTTGAACCAAGAAGTTTTGTACTCTCCTCTAAAGTTGGACTTCCAATAATGATAACACCTATACAGGAGATCTGAAGACACTCGAAATGTAGAACATGAAATTGTAGATATTTTTGGAGAGTTGAAATTGAAAACAAAAGAAAATCAAATTAGAATTAATTTTTATTTACTTACTTTAATTGATTATTTTATTATACTTCGATTTCTATTTAAAAAAATATAATTATATTGATACTAGTTATTTTTTTAGGGTACTACCCTCTGCAGCCAAACTTTTTTTTAAATTAAAGTTTAAGAGTATTGGTTTACTGAGTTCTAAAGGTCCTACACAAGATGGGTACCGACAGAGAACTCTTAAAAATAATGAAAACACGGAAAACCTCATATTTGGGACACATATACAGAAATGAGAAATACCAGCTACTGCAGCTTCTTATAGAGGGGAAGGTAGAAGGAAAACGTGGTCCTGGTAGACGGCAGGCGTCCTGGTTGAAGAACATTCGTGAGTGGACTGGTTTGGATTCTCAATCTTCAATAAGAAAAGCCAGGGACATAAATGATTTTGCTGAGGTTATCGCCAACCTTCATTGAAGACGGCACCCAAAGAAGAAGAAGAGTTCTAAAGATCTATAAAAACGTAGTAAGAATCTATAATAAGAGACTAAAAACACGCCGACTGGAACCATTTCAAAGAATTTTTGTCAGCTAACACTTCACTCCACAGTTAGATAACTTAAAATTACCCTGATAATATGAATCATGGTATCACGGTCATTAACGAACTAAAACATCAAACGATTAAGATATTAGTCCTAATAAGGATATAAACCCTAGCAAAATACCTCGACCTCAATATCAATAAAATCAAACAAAAGAGACGACTCCTCTGTCAGTTTCAACAAACACGCAACCCCCTAGTCAAAATAGAATACAACCGTCTGTCTGCGGTGATCAAACTACAGGTTAATAATTTGTAAGCCAATCAATGGCAAGCAGCTACCTTTAGTCTTAATTATTGTAACGGCGGCGCGTTCTGGTCCAAACTTAAAATCCTAACTAAACAGAAAACCAACAACCCTTTTTATATTGTGGTGAACAACCAAATTGAGGTGAGGCCAACGCCTTCAAAATATAGTTGCAAAACACCCTAGTCTCTTCCGATAACCCTAGATTTGACCACGAGTTCCGTGCAACGATTGAGATAGACATAACAAGATGACTCGCCACCCTCTTTAATCCCAAGGAGCCACAAGATTATCCTATCATGACAACTGTTGATCAACAAACCTTCAAACATTTTTGCCGGCAAATCAAATCAAACTCACCAGGACCTGACAAAATTATCAGGAACTGCGTGAAACAACTCCCACCGAGCGTCATACTCTACCTGATAAACATTTTCAATGTCACTCTTAGACTATGCTACTTTATATCTCTATGGAAAAAAAGACAATACAATCATGTTCCTAATAAAGGCCAAACCCTGGACCGATCTGCACTCTTATAGGCCGATTTATCTATTAAACGTCTTGGCTAAGGTCTTCTAGAGGATCCTTGATCTGGTGCTGGTCTGGTCAGGAAACTATTCAGGAAAGGAAACATCGGCCTGGCCTTCCGATTCGTTAGATTTCTGCATTCATGTATCACTCAACGTCAAATCACGGTAAAAATGCGAGGTCATTTTTCAGACTCTTTTACTTCTACAACAGGGGTTCCACAAGGTTCAGTGTTGGCACCCATACTATAAACTATATACAATAGCGACTTTTCAAACCCATGTTACACTCACGCCCAGACTTTGCTCTACGTAGGCGATACCGCTCTTGTAACAAAAACACAAGACATAAATGCACTAGTTACGTTTCCTCTAATTCACCTTGACCTGTTTGACAGGTGGTGCGGGAGATGGAGAGTAACGCCTAACTCTAATAAAACTTAGATGATTTCTTTAGATACCCCAGTCTCAGCAGATTTACTTTATACAACAAAGCCAGAAGAAACAGTCTTATGCCGGGTCCAGACCAAGCAGACAAAACGAAAACACAATTCTGAAACAAAAACACGATAAACCGGCGACAAAATTTGTCGTCAAAAGACAAAACAAAATTGAGACAAACTGTCCACACCAGAACAACAAAATATAAAAACAAAATTCAGTTGGTGACGTTGTTGTTGTGATTAGTGTTGGTTAACCATGTGGCGTTTTAATCAAGAAAAAAATGAAACTGAAGATTTATTGCTACCCGCAAGTTGTTTTTTTTTGCTCTCATCATCATCCCAGGTTGCTAAACGAAAACCCAAACGTTTTTGGATTAGACCAAGCCTAAAAATGCGAGAAAGTTGTTCGATAGACAAATTGTTAGTTCAGCTGCGCGCAGATGATATTGGACTAAGTGGTGAAATTCGATCAAGCTTCAAAAATTTTTTAAGAATGTCCACCGAAGATTTTGAGAATCTAATATGCCTTGTTGGTCCTGCAGTTGCAAAAAGACATACTAACTTTAGAAATGCTATAAGTGTAACAGAACGGTTAGCAATCACTTTAAGATTTTTAGCAACAGGTGATTCCTACCACAGCCTAATGTATCTTTCAAAAGTATCAAAGCAATCAATATCTGTAATAATACCTGAAGTATGTAAAGCTTTAATTAACAGTCTTAGTGGTTATGTACAGGTATGTTAAACTTTTTTCATTACTATTTTTCTGTTAATATCCCTTAAAATAAACTCTATATTTATTGGTTAAATGTTTAATATAAAAGAAATTGACGATAGGTACATACTACATACAAAATAATGACGAGTCTACTTGTTTTTACATTCAAAAAGTTCATCATCAATTTCGATCGTTTTCTTGATCTGAATACTGAGAAAGCTCTGTGTCAATACTAGGTGGATGTGAAAATAAAGGTTGTGTGTTGGTGATTGGTGGATTTAAGTATGAATTTTGTGGGTGAGCGCTGGGTGGATTTGAGTATGAATGTTGCGTGTTGGGTGGATTTGAGTATAAATGTGTATCAATGCTGGGAGGAGTTGAGTATGAACGTGTGTCAATGCTGGGAGGATTTGAGTATGAATGTTGTGTGTCAGTGCTGGGTGAAGTTGAGTGAACATTTGTGTTGAGACTAAGTGGATTTGAGCACGAAGAACCAGAAAATCCTGTGGGAAACTGAATAAATTCTTCCATTTGGCGTTGTACCTGGAATAGTGGTGGCTTCTTGGGTTCATTATACTTGCCCATTTCAGCGTCATATAATAGATTGTAAATTAGATGTTCTACTGTGGACTGGGCATAGGGTGTGGGTAGACTCCTTAACTTTTGAGCTACCAATTCACCTATTATATCAAATTTATCAGGCTTATTGTTTAATTTTTCTAGACGATCCTTCTGTAATGATGTGACTATGTTGTACACTTCTTCATTCCTACGCTCCATATTTTGTGATATATTCTTCTGTTTATAAGCTTTGTTTATTGTAGTCAATTCAGAAGTTTTTTTATTGTCCTTTACTTTCCCTTTTTCCTTTACCGTTATAGAAGACGTATTAAGTTCATCAGTAGTCATCTCAGTATGTTCTTCCATATTCTGCATTGTTTCAATATCGGTTGTCTGTTGTCTCTCGCTAGGGATAGTACCACTTTTTGTCCCCGACATGTTTAGAAAAATACACTAGTATTTATTTAATCACTACACAACAGAAAAATACACTTGATTTTGGTAAAAATTGTACATTCTATTTCTCCTACTGCTTAACTCGTTTTGGCACGCACACGCGTCCACACTGCGTCGACAACTTGTCGTCAAAAACACAGACAAAACACAGACCTTTTGATCTTTACCGACCTGAGACGGGACCTGAAAAAGTTTTCAAATCTGCAAACAAAACAAAATTGTTTCAGAAATGTCTCAACAATGTTTTCGATTTGTCGCCACTTTGTCGCGAAACATGAATGTTTTTGTTTTGTCTGCTTGGTCTGGACCCGGCATTAGACTCTGGGACGACCGACTCCAACTCCGCGACTGGATTAAGTACCTCGGTGTGGTACCGAGGTCGACTGACACGTTATGTAAACTAAAGTTTTATTTTGAGGTTGTAGTCATTAATAGGGCATATTCAGTGAAACTCTTTGTTATTATCTCCAGCTTTCGCAAAATTTATTTAGCACCCTTAAGCAAGCAGAGACAAATGAGAGGAATCCAATTTAACCTATGTAATATTTTTTCACCCCTTTTTCACTAATTTATTACCACCCTAATAATTTTTCACCTCCAATCCATCATTAAGGGGAGCGGTTTTGCTGGCTTACGGTTAAAACTATTAAAATTTCAAAAATAATATTTATGCTATACCACAGTGCTCTGCTAGGTTTTTATGAATTTATTACCACACTAGTAATTATTCACCCCTCAACTAGTCCTTATGAGAAGTCAATAATTCTGTTGGGTTAATATTCAAGGTGAAAAAAAATCTATTTTTACAACTGTGCTGTACTCAGTGGCGGTCTCAAGGGGGGGCGATGGGGGCGATGGGGGCGATCGCCCCCCCCCCCAGAAACCTTAATTTTCTGAAAAATTGAGAAGTTAATATACATATTAATCAGAAGTGTGAGATCGAACTAATGCATTGCTATTATTGGACAAAATAATCTAACAGTGTAAAAACGTCCGTAGACAGATTATTTTAATAGCCTACGGTTAGTTTTGATATAACGTAACAAACAAGCATTTACCTAGAAATTCTCAGCGGTCGTCGCGACACAGGAGCGCGTGCGCCAAAACCATTTGCAATTTTAAACCTCGACAATTTGTAGACAATCTTCTTCAGTCAGACGTTGCTTGCTTGATTTCTTCGTACAGACTTCAAAAAGTACAAGAAAACAGACAAAGACTATCCCCTATAATTGAATCAATTATCTTTCTTGGAAGGCAAAATATTCCCCTTCGCGGCTATAGGGATCATGGTGAAATTGATTTAGACAACAGTGCAATTTCCAACGAGGGAAATTTTTAAAAACTTCTTAGATTTCGGGTTCAATCTGGAGATAAGGTATTGGAAGACCATCTAAGAACAGCA